AAATATTATATTGTATAATAATGTAATTTGAAATTGTTTTAATGACCATTTCGAATATAACAAGAAACAATTCTATATGAATTTATTAAGCTCAACTAACATGTATATTGTTTCTATTTTCGTTGCAACTATAATTTTAGAAAAATGAGTATTCATAGAACTCTTGATAACTCATGCACAAGTTTAAATTAATATTTTCTGAAGTTTAAATTTTGTGATAGAAAATGAGAATTAGAAAAGAGAATGTTAACATAAAATGTTGTCAAGCCAAGAAAAAAAGGTAATTAAATTTATATTTAATTTATTTTAAGTTGATTTAACTTTTTATTGTTAGTGATTCTTTCATTATTTGGATGATTAAGTGTTAGTAGAAGAAATAAAAATAAATTTGAACTTCATCGTCTTACCTTTTATTTCCGTCTTGAAAATTTCAAACCCTTCGGCCAAGATGTGACATAAATATTCGTCTCTATAGAAATAATAGATAAGCTATGGCAATGCCACTTGAAGGCTTCAACACTTCTACCAAATTCATCAAGTGCCACATCAGCTACCTATCAACACCACCTAACCCTATCACAAAGATCAGATTGTGTTGTTGTGCACACAATGGTAAGAGATTTGAGTTTTCAAAGTAAATAATTTTATTTCACCGCATAATGCTTCCCAATACTTTAGATATGTGCCATCCAAGAGAAAACATGCCAAAAAGTCAACGGTAGTTTACTTCAATTCTAAGAGTACTTTTAAAGGACATGCATATTCTAAAATTTAAAAAATAATGTTTCCTACAAGAATAATTGATTTCTATAATTTTGTTAGCAGACTTTTAGAATTATTTAAAACACTTAAATTTTCTTGTCGCTATTACCAAAACAAGTAAATTATAACAATGGTAAAAAAAAGGAAAATTACCACCCAATTCTCATGCATTTACATATCTAACACCAAAACATTAATTTTTACATCTGTGGCCTTTTATCTAAGCATGGAAAGTTTTATTTCACCATTTAAAAATTGAAATAGTTGTATTTTAATGTGATATAATATATTTGTGCGTAAAAAAAGTAAAAAAGTTAAGCTTAGGTGCTCGATATGTAATATCATAAGAATTTGGTGGTATGTGTTTAAATGCCTCATAAAAAAAAAGGTAAACAGCTAACCTCGTCTGATGAAGCTGTTAATGATTTAATTTGCATGTGCGGCAACCTTGCTCCTGGTTTTGATGTAGCAACATAGTCCCTAGATCTCAGCTTAAAACCATTAACAACTCTTGTTTCCGAAGTTCTATCATTATTCTGAACAACTAAAGCTCCTTCAAGATATCTACAGAAAGTCCAAAAGAACCACACTTAAAAAATTATAAGAAACTACGAAACTTTGTAGCAAGCTTTGCATTATCAATGTATGGGACCGTAAAAAGGAAAAAAGTCAAAAATACCGCCATTACTTGGTTCAGTGATATTGATTTTGATCCCCAAAATCAATGAAAGAGTCAAATAATTTAGAATTAAAAAGGCAAAATTTACGGAAGCTTTCAGTTTCATATAACCATCCACAGTAATGTAAACAACAGAGAAGGCAGATACAATAAAATCTGATATGGAGTCTTACTAACCTGAAACCAAGATCCTCAGCAGGGTTGAAGGCTTTTTCCCTCATCAAATATCTTCTTAAGACTTGCAAGCCTCATAGAGCCAATTGGATTGTTTTCATTCAGAACGAGTGTAGAGAGTTGAGCCCTACCCAATGAAAAGATTCGTTCCATCGCAAATTTTTGAAAGCTATAGGGCAATAAGGCGCCAAACGTATTTATCACTCTGTGCACTACAAAATTTTGTTAGAAAGGTAAAGTTACGTTTTAGAAGGTTAAAAATGAGGAACATAAAGGATGCACAAATTACTTTTTATTTTAAATCAGAATACCTGAGTTTGCAATAGCTGGGTCAACGCCTAGTGCAGCTGGAATGGAAATTGCTGATTTGAAGTTGTCAACGCTTAGCGCTGTATTAAAAATGGCTATCTGTAAACAAATTAAGAAGATAATTGTCAATTTTCTTCCATATTTACAGGATGGCACATCAAAGCGGATAGAAATTGCAAGAATGTTACTGGTCGGCGCTCAAGCTCGTATGTCTTGATAATTGAGGCTGAAGCCACATTATCCAGCAGCAAACTTATTTTCCACGCTAAATTATGTGCATCTTGAATGCCGGTATTCATTCCTGCAAGAACAAAATGATATTGCCTTAGAACAGCATATAATCCATTGAGCCTATCATATTTCTATTTGACAGCCTGACAAGCACAATATTGTAAAAAGGGTTAGACGTTCTCAAGGCAATATGATTGTTCAATGCAAGGATGTCAGATGCCGACCAAGGTGCCTGCCCAGGTAAAACGAAAAGCAAATAAATTATAATTATATTTCCTATAAAATAATTTCACATAAGATTGAATTTTTTAATGTGGCAAGATATTAAAGTTGAGGGAAATTATAAATTTTCATGTTCCACAATATTCCAAGATGAAAATTCTTGGCCAAAAATTAATCTTAAACAAGAAAAATAAAATACTTAAGTTCGTAGCAAGCATGGCCTGAGGATAATTAACCATCCCTATCATCTTTACCATCATTAATGTCATTTGGGATGCGGAAAACTCAATGAGAATGACATGGTTGGCCAATTCCATGATTGAAGAGATAAGTGCAAATTATCTGTATTACTCTACAGCAAAGGAATTATGAAATAATGTTTTAGAAATGTACTATGATCTTGGAAATCAATCCCAAGTTAATGAGTTGACTCTATGACTTGGAGAAATTTGCCAAGGTGAATAATGTTTTAGAAATGTACTCTGATCTTGGAAATCAATCCCAAGTTAACGAGTTGACTCTATGACTTGGAGAAATTTGCCAAGGTGAGGATTATATGTGAGGATTCTATGACAAAATATTTCAATTCTCTTAAGCGAATTTGGAACGAGTTGACTCTATGACTTGGAGAAATTTGCCAAGGTGAGGATTATATGACAAAATATTTCAATTCTCTTAAGCGAATTTGGCAGGACCTGGACTTATTCAACGATCATGAGTAGAAATCAAACGATGACTTCACCAGTACAAAAAAATACTGTCTGATTTCATAATATTTTCTTGCAGGGCTAAACGTTGAATATGATGAGGTCCGTGGCCGAATAATTGGAAGAAATCCCCTGCCTCAATTGGTGAAGTTTTTGCAGAGGTAAGGAGAGAAGAGAGTCGGAGACATGTGGGAGACATGTAGACATGTGATGTTGGGGAAGAAAACTGTAGGTTCAACCGTGTCCTTGGAAGGATCAGCACTGGTTATTCCTAAAGCAAAAGTAAGCAGAAAAACTTCTCACAACCAGCATGTAGAGGATAAAAAAACCTGTGATGTGACTACTGTGAAAAACCACGTCATACTCGCAAAAAATGTTGGAGGTTGCATGGTAAACCATCTAATGGTAAGGGAAAAAAACCCGGTGAACATAGCACACCTGCAACAAATGAGGTCGAGTCATCCGAAATTAGTAAAGAATAATTAAGTCATCTTCTTAAGCTGCTGAAATCTTGCTCATCATCTAATGCTCCTATCGATTCTATAGCACAAACAGGTAGTAATCCTTTGGATTTATCTGTTCTAGGAAGTACCACTCCTTGGATCATCGATTCAGGAGCATCTGATCTGATCAGGAGCATCTGATCATATGACAAGTTGTTCTCAATTATTTAATTCATATTATTCATGTTCCGGTTTCGAAAAAAAACAGAATAGCTGATGACAGTTTTTCATTTATTGCAGAAAAAGGAAATATTAAAATCTCAAAAAAAATCTCTTTGAAATCTGTCTTACAAGTTCCAAAACTTACATGTAATCTTCTTTTCGTTAACAAATTGTCTAAAGATTCTGATTAATTCATTCTTTTTTTTCTTCCAATTGTGTTTTTCAGGACCGGAACTCGGGGAAGATGATTAAACTGCTAGAGAAAAAAATAGGTTGTACTACTATGATGGAACTAATTCTGCGAATAAAACAGCTCATAAATTAAGTAGTACAAGTTCAAGTTTTGACTATGATCAAGTTATGTTATGACATAAAAGAATAGGGCATCATAGCTTTCCATATCTCAAATCTTTGTTTCCTAAACTATTTAAAAGTATTGATCGTACAAAACTTCATTGTGAAGCGTGTAATTTATCTTAAAGTAATCGTGTTTCGTTTTCAATAAAATCATATTCTTCTTTAAAACCATTTTATTTGGTGCATAGTGATGTTTGAGACCCATCCAAAGTTAACACACTTTCTGGAAAAAAATGATTTTTAACATTTATTGATGATCACACACGAGTTTGCTCGGTATATTTATTGGAAAAAAAATCTGAAGTTGAACAAAGATTTAAAGATTTTTTCTACGTGATTGAAATCAATTTCAAACAAAAATTGACATTCTAGGAACGGATAATAAGACTGAATATTTCAACAAATATTAAGAACATTTATTTTAGAAAAATGTATTCTGCATCAATCCACTTGTCGTGACACACCACAACAAAATTGTATTGTTGAAAGAAAAAATAAGCATTTACTTGAAGTTACCGGGGCACTTATGTTTTTCATGAAAGTTCTTAAATATCTTTGGGATAATGCACTCAGTATTGTTGAAAGAAAAAATAGGCATTTACTTGAAGTTACCGGGGCACTTACGTTTTCCATGAATGTTCCTAAATATCTTTGGGATAATGCACTCAGTATTGTTGAAAGAAAAAATAGGCATTTACTTGAAGTTACCGGGGCACTTATGTTTTTCATGAAATTTAAAACATCTTTACCAGTCTTAAGAAATTATTTTTCCACATCTAAGATAATAGTTGATCTCCCTTTAAAAGTTTTTTAATGTGTTTGTTATGTGCATGTCCGAAATATGTTTCGCTCAAAACTTGATCCCAAAGCAGAAAAATGTGTTTTTATTGGGTATACTTCCAATAAACGTGGGTACAAATGCTTTAATCCAGTACAAATGTTTTAATCCTGTCAAAAATAAATTTTTTGAGAGCATGGATGTAAAGTTTGTCGAGGATCACCCTTTTTTTCAAAACAATTTTCTTTAGGGGGAGAACTCTGTTGAAAAAAATAATTTTTTGAAAACTTTACTCATTCTTTTAACTAACTCTGATATGGAAACTAGGGTCAGCACTACTAATCAATTTTTGTCATATGTTACCTTATCAGAGACAAGGGGAGAAGTACTTCCAATGGATCATAATCTTCAACATGAGCTGCAGGTTTATACTAGGAAGAAATTCCATAAAATTACTACAACCCTAGTTATTCCCTCAACATATGTTCAATCACCTTTGCCGAATAATGGCCCTATAACTCAAATTAATCTTCCCTCTACTTCCACTCCTTTTGATCTTAATCTTCCAATTGCTTTTAGAAAAGGAATTTGAACGAACACGAAATATCCTATCACACAATATTTGTCATATGAAGAACTATCAAAAAATCATAGAGCATTTGTGTCTAGGATTTCTAATATACTAGTTCTAAGAACTGTTCAGGAAGCATTAGGTGAATCAAGTTAGAAATTAGTTATGATGTGATACACCAAAAATATATGCATTTTTAGATCCATATTTTATACCTATTTTTTATGATATTGCACTTTAATGGAATGTATTTTGATGTTTTCTTGCAGGTTGTTGATTTTTAGGGTTTAAAGCAAAAAAAAAAACAAAAAGAATGAAATTTGAAGTCAAAATGACATTTATGAAGAAATGCTCAGCGCCGACAGCTCTGAGGGAAGCGCCGACGACGTAGAACAAATTAACCCAGAAATTTTTTACTCAACGCCGACAGCGCCAAAGGCGGTGCAGACCCCGCTTCTAGAAGGTTCGCGATGTATTTGAACGACTTTTAGAAGAGTTTTTGGAGGCACCTCTTGGAGAACCGACCTTAGGCTTTATTTGAAGTCAAATTTCATCAAAAAATGGGCTCATCTACGTTTTTCACTCCTCTTTCATTTTTCGCACCACATCATTTTATTCGACTTCCATATTGGAGTCAATTAGTGATTTTGTTTTCATAGTTTAGAGTTTTTGTGGTAAGATTTAGTGTGAAACTTTCTGTAAGAGTATTGAAGAAGGAGAAAAATGAGAGATATCTTCTTTCTATATTTCTAAGGAAATGCTCCAAAAGATTTGCTTTGAGAAAGAGTTTTCAGATAAGTACATTTCTAAGGAAATGCTCCAAAGGATTTGCTTTGAGAAAGAGTTTTCAGATAAGTATTGTTTGTTTATTAGTGTTGTATGAACTTTCTTTTATATATGAAATTTGTATTTTGTTATTTCTTTCTCATGAAGTCTGAGTAGTTTCTTCTATCTTTCTCCCTACTCTGAGATATGATGCAATGAAGAGCTAATATGATGTGCCAATATTAAAATATAAAATAAATTGTGATGATTTTTCAACTCTGAACATAATTTACATTTCGATCTAACCAATTGAATTGTTAAAATATGTTGTAAAACATATGATCCGGGAAATGGAGTATGAGTTCTACAACAGAGTGAGGATCACATTTGATTTCATGGAGGAGAAATTCATTCATGGAATTATGTGCAAATAAATAAGGAAATATTCTTTGTTGGGTGTAGAATTGGAGAATC